AAAAAAAAAAAAAAAAAAAAAAAAAAAAGGAAAATAATAAAAAAAAAAAACATATCTGAGAAAAACTATCCAAAAAGGCAGAGTTAGGCCTAGTAGATCTCGTAGGATATGCATGGGAAGGAACGGCATACTTGGGAAGAAAAAACTAGTCAAAATTCTCCTTGTCATGAACAGGTTTGGACAATGCAGGAGGAACCCGATTTATGGTCAGGAGAAAAAGGACACCTCATATAACAATCAATCTCCCAACAAATGATAGCTAAAAAATCCTCAGTTGAGACTGCCAGACTTGAAGCCAGTAATGGCACACAAAGTAGCAGTAATAATATCAGAAGTTCTAAAACACAAAGCTTTGGAATTCATCTTAAACCGTCGAAAATGAGAAGAGGAAAAAAAATCAATAAAAAAGGAAAGTTACTGCAGCAAACTATTACAGAAAAAAATTAACTAGCAATTGAATAAAGCAAGTATATCACTACTTTGCAAAAAAAATAAAATGAACACATAAAAAGAGCACAATTGGAAAAATATCTGCACTCAATCACTGCCTAACAAGAAGTGGCAGTTTGGTACAATCAAACAGAGGGAGTCACATGCATCAGAAGGGTTGTTGCATGATGATTTATATGCGAGATTCAGCTGAACCACGTTGATTGTGGGAGTTCAAGGCTTGTAGCATGCAAAAACATTTTGCATATAAAGGGTAGCACTGATTAAGGATAGTTATACACGTGAGAAGAGGTAATATACCATATTTGAAATTAAACTATGTCTCAGTAGAACAAATATTATAATGAGTAATCTACATTAAATTCCATACTTCAGAGAGGGGTGATAAATTAATTAGAAAAATAGGTGAAGATCTAGAGAACAAATGTCATGATTCTCATACTAGGGGAGATTGAGGATTATTTTAAATATTTCTTTATAAAATTAAGAACTTAAACATATATAATATTAAAATATGATTTATTATGTAAATATTGATACCAAGTTTATTTGTATACATTGATAATAAAGTGGTTTAATTAAATTTTGAATGTAACTCTCTAAAAGGTTCTGGCATATGCCCTTTGACCTACCATTAGCAAGAAGATTAAACTCTCACAAAGCTTGTATGCTGAATATCCAATAAATACAAGATAAGGTAAAAATCTTGTTCTTATACAAGTATTAAAAAGACTTATAATTAACATTTTAGTCCTGCTGAAAATTCCACCTTAAGGCAGGAAAAGCTGTACCTGGTCATAGTTGTCATGGCCATGAAAGAAAGGTTCTTTTCTGAAGATCATGCTTGCTAGCATACAACCTAAGCTCCACATGTCCAGTGAGTAGTCATACATCTGAAAGCACGAATACTATCAGTAAATTATTGATAACCAGTTTACACACGCAAACATCAGAAAAGAAACACATTAAAATCAATCAGTACATTCAACATATCTAATACACACACACATACATATATATGTGTATCACTTGTCTAAAGATATTAACACTTTGTTTACATTTTTGCTCAAATTAACAACCCCTATACCTGTGAAGCCATCACATAAATATTTACTACAATTCTGAATCTACTACATGCATCTTGATGAAATTTGGCAAGCTTTTGGCAAACATTACATGTATGTTGTACACAAATAAATCTGATATTTTTCTTAGAATTCACAAAGCTTCTATTAAATCAGTACGAGTGAAAGATGATTTTCACGCTAAGAACAAAAACATCTTTTCATCTTACAGTTTTATATTTCATGCCCGTAACCTCTACAGTCTCCTAAATGAATAACAAGGTTTATTAGATAAAACTTTATACCTCCTATTTTCTTTATCTTAACACTAACTGTAGCAAAACCATCAATGTAGAGTAAAATGAAATGAATAATACCATTTTTTCTTTTGCACAGACTGCAGAATGTATCAGAAATTTTCAACTTACTTAACAGCATTAACTGTTAACCTTTTAATATCTGCTTCCTTTTAACACTAAATATAGGCATGGCTCTTCTCCACATGAAATTTCACAGTCACATTCAAAATTTAATTAAACTTGGTTATCAATGTATGGCAAAATTAGCATCAGAATATAGTTTATAATCCAAACTTTTATATTATCTATGTTTTAATTTATTAAATTCAAAATAAAACAAAAAAATTCTCAGTCTTCATTTCTATATGTCTCTTTGCATATCTCATTCTGAATTCTCCTCTTTTAGTTTCTTCAATACTATAACAACTTCACTGTCTGACTCATCCTAAGTACAATCTATAAACAATTCTAAGGCTAAATGTACAGGTTCAAACATGCTAACTTTACCCTGTAGTGAGAAATAAATTTTCTCAACCCATAAAAAAATCCCCACCCATTTATACTTAACTTTCAAAGCAGTTTTCAAAACCTCATGTTCTTAGTTGACATGTATGTTTATAACTGATAGAAAGAGCTTGTTTTCAATTTCAAGTTTTCACTGGGTTTTTTGAAATTAGCACCAACAGACATTAAACTAGTAGAGGACATCAACAGGTATGTAAGTTGATGCTCATACCATTTAACCTTCTTTTTTTTTTCCTATCTTAAATAGTTTAGTTAGAAAACCAGTTAAACTATAGTTGTTTTTAGACACTCTATTTCAGTGATTTATGTATTATTTATCTTTTAAAATGCATATTTTGAAAGGAAAATTAATTTTTGTGTTGACAAAGACTTGGAGAAAAAATATTTGGCTTAGGTAACTATGTGTGAATGAGTACAAAGCTGCAAGTACATATACTTTAGAGTATGTAAATCTGCTAATGTAATGTGTTACTCTTCAGGCATGAAAGAAACCAAACATCATACAAACCAGGCAATAAAACTAACACCAGCATAAAATACATGTGAAAAGGTAAACAATTGAAATTGTGAAGATATGGTGACAAATCATTCATTCAAAGAAGAAGAAAAAAAAAGGTATTTTTCATTTTATTTCATAATTTTCAAAACCTCATAACACTGTATACTTGTGATTTAGCTACAGTTAGCATAAGGGTAGAGAAAATAACATACAATATAACCTTTTACCTTAAAATAACTTTTGACATTCATTTAGGAGGTTCTAAGAGGTTAAGCAATGAAACATGAAAACCATAAAATGAAAAGAAGTATTTTTATTTTAATCATAAAACTCACTTTGCACTCAGATTGATTCAGTAAAAGATTCAGAATTACAAGACAAATTTTTACTGTAACCACTTATTAAAAATTCTCATTTTTCATGTACAACAGATGTAAAGTTTAATAAAAACATTCCCAATTATGTAAAGATGTACTTCATAAATACATAGTTCTAGTACATAAAGTGTCATGATTTTCAAACTCATGTAAGATAACTGATCTGTGATTGGAGGTTTAATTTTATGGTTTTACTATGAGAAATGCCACCCAATGGGTGGCTGTTAGGTCAAGATTTTGAGAAGCTAAATGATGTGCTTCTCTGTCATGAAATTGCTCCTAACTTCTTCTAACTGCATCTTCACAAGCAATTTGACACGCTTCTGTATTTTGGGTTTGCTCCTGGATTCTTTTCACTGGATCTTGCCTCATAACTTGCTCTTTCTTTCTGTAACTTGCATCTTGATGTTTTATATTCTTTCTTAAAGTTTCAGACTTTTACTGTGATAAGTCACTTTTCTGTTTGGCAATTTTTGGCATCGTGATTTTGATCACTTTATACTCATACTGAAGTAAAAATACTTGTGTAGTTTACAAAGATTGAGTTACTAAACAAATTCCTGTAGATTTGTATGCAACAAACTCTGTATGAAGGATCTGCAGTTCCTTCAATTACCGAACAATTCAATTCAGAGCACATGCTTGGATTCTCCAGCAGAAAAAGTCAACTTTTCTTCTGAAATATCACAATGATTCTTCACTAGGAAGACTCACTTTTAAGTTCTGCATTAAACTAACTTTACCACAATTTAGAAGTTTTAACTTAATTTCATTGATAATAATAAATGTACAAAATTAATGTATGTTATTAAAAAGGAAAGAAGTAGCATTTCTCCATTAAGGAAGCGATTTAGGAAGAAATGGTAATGAAACTTTGTTAGGACTTCCCCTTATGATGTTGAAAATTTTTTCGAAGTTTCATCCAAATCAGACTGAAACTGTGAGAGGAGTTTTGTGGAAAGACGGGCATTGGCCTCTTACATATATATTGCTGTACTGTCTTACCGTAATCTTGCTCTGTCAAAAGCAATAAATCACAGCAGGAGCCCAATAGCTGTTTCACACTGAGCTAATGTAAACAGCAGGGTGATGTTACACATAAAATAAAGCTTGTGAAAATTTAGACATTCTAGTTACTTTTGTTGAAAATATATACTTTAAAATAAAAAGAATTTATGTATTTGAGCTCGTTTCCACTCAAGTAAAAATTAAAGACATTCTTTCTTAAGTTTCACAAATTTGGGTGTCCCAAAATAATTTATGTAGCTTTCAAATATTCATTTTAGAAAACAAAGTATATACCAGTTACTAGAATAGAATGTTCCAAAATTAATATATCTGGCTTTCTAAGTAAACTACAGATAGATTAAGAAAATTCTGTTAAGATGTTTGAAGCAGGAATACAATATTCACACAAAAAGAAAGTAAGACAGACTGATATTCTGTGGAGTTTCAAAATCAACTAGCTGTAATGATCATAATGTAGAGAAGAATATGCTCTTCCTATTGGTTACAACCATGCCCATCAGCCATGTAAAGTTGATTAGCAAACAATCTCAAAGTCAGAAAGAGAGGAGGGGGTTTCTCTAGTGGGTTTGACAAATCTATTGATATCTCAGCAAATCAAATTTTAGATTCTTGCTTGTTATTATGTACAGTTGATGTTTATTGGAAATTGTAGGAGCCTACTCCTGAAGTTAAAAAATTCTGATTTTGAGAACCCAGAGCTCAGATGCATCACAGAAAAATGAAGATTGAGAATTTTTTAAATTAAAAAGTTAAAACTTAGATAATATAAAAATTTGAATTATAAACTACATTTTTTTACCAAGTTTATTGAAATAGATTAAAAATGTAATTAAACAGTTTTATTATGAACGTAACACTATTAGATGTTGCAACATGTGCAAAAGAGCCAGGCCTGGATGCAAAGCATTAACAATCAACTTGCTACATATGTGCCAATTATTATTAAAAACCATATGTTGAAACTGGTTCAATAAAAATATTTATATAAATCTTAACAAATTTGTGATATTAAAAAGTTTTAAGTATGATATAAATTGTTATAAGTGGTAGTGAATTACTTCAAACATTGTCTTTTATAGAAAATATCTTTCAGTCTTTTCATACAAACAGATGTCATTCTTGGTCAGTGTTCTTCAGCACTTATCATAATGCATTTTTCCAAGTTTCAAGAATTTTTAACATGTATAGTTCACTATTTTTTTAAACAGACAAAATGTATTAACACAAAAGCTAATCTTTTAAAATAAAAATAATTATTTTTAGCTCATCTTTTAACTGCTCTTATGATGCACAAAGAAATTAAACTCACCTGATAATCAACTAACAGTTCTGGACCTTTAAAATATCTAGATGCCACTCGGACGTTGTACTCTTGACCTGCATGATAGAACTCTGCTAATCCCCAGTCTATGAGCCGAAGCTGAGAAAACAAAATTCACATTTATGTCCATTTTAGAACTTTATTACACATCATTATAAAAGAAATAAACATTCACAAAAGCAAAACCTACTGTTTGGACACTAAATATACACGTGTGTGGATTTAAGTACATCTCAATGCAATGTTTTCAGTTCCATTTTGGATCTTGTCTCGATGTTCTTCAAAATTTGTAATTTCCACTGGGTGTTATGTCAAAAATCTGAACAATAACACATTTTTCCAAAATATTTACTCAGAAATACAGGTCAATACGAGGAAAGAATATCAGCAGGTAACTAGATTAATTTCATAGTCACTGTTCAGCAGTTTTAATTGTAGAATTACTTAAGGGATTCATACCACATCAGCTTTTTAAAAAACAATTTCAGAATTATTCATACAACAAACTGCTTATGGGTTCATGACTTTGCTGTTTATAGAATCCACTATAACAAATGAGTCACAAAAAAAAAAATATACGAAACTTGCTAAACTGGTTTTAAACAACGTTTGATAAAGGAACTCAAGTGGACCTCCAAGAAACTGAATTTAAATGAACAAGCAACTACACAAATGGACAAGTTCTGCATACATTTCAATTTTGCCATAAAGTATGGCCCAACTAAGCTAAGAGGGCAGTAGCAAAGTACAGGAAGCTGAAGACAAACTAAAGTGGTCTAATGCCATGCTCAGCACGTGTATTCTTGAAACAGACAAATGGTTTGTGTGCTACATTTATAACACAACTTTTTAAGCCCAACATATTGGATGGGTACCTTTGCTCATAATATTCCGATTGATACCAAATAGAGAAAAAGAAGAGTATAACACTGAAAATATCTTGTATGTCACCACATTTATAAGAAGTTTGAATTATACTTGAAGATTTCATAAACATTTAGTTTATTTGAAATTGGTGAAATATCTAAATCTGCAATTTTTGTCTCGTTCTTCTAAAAGTACTATGCACATGGTACTTGTAATGATAACATAATAATAAATAGCATTTGAATGATGTCGATCAAGTAATCTCTATCATCCAAGCATACCAAATGACAAGGAAGCTCAAAGGTAACAATAAAAATAGCCTACCAAGACCACATTTCAGATATAGAAAATTACCAGTGTTTCACTTGACATTTACAGAAAAAGCTTGCTTATCTCTTTCTACTTTTAAAATAGAAAACACATCAGGAGAATATCAAATAAAAATAAAAGTGAACTTTGGCATTAAAAGCACAAAAACGTACTGAAAACTGAGATGTTGGCATCTCTATAATAACCAGTCAATGTTCAGTATAACCTATTAATCTTTACAGATTAGCAGTGTCCAGTATAACCTATTACCTCTTTCCTAACAGGGTCAGGCAATGCGACCAAACTTGTAATTACAAAGTAACAATCAGACTTTCCATACAATAACTCTTTAATATACTTTGTGTATTTTCACGAAGTTGGCAAGTTTTCAGTACACATTACAAGTCTTTTGTATAAAAAAAAAAATCAAATTTTTTAACTAACTACTTTTACTAAAATTTGTCCATGAATATATGGAATTAGTGTCCACTGCTCTGAGTACAAAGTGATTTTATATTAAAATTAAAACTTAGCATTTTCCTACATTTACCTCAACTCACAAGATAGCTTTTCTCAACTAGCACTGCCCTCTGTTGGCACAAATTTTCAATGCAAGCATCTAGCCTTCCAACTCCTGCATATCTCCACCAATAGGAGCATGACACCACTCCTATCATAACCATCACGCTCTTCACATATGCACTCATTAATCATTTCAAGATTGGTCAGTAGATCTACACCATATATCATCGGAAGTGAGAAGGCTGGGTGGCAAATGTGAGAAGGGGATTATCAATTGGAAATACATTTTCAGTGCAGGGAAATGCTAACTTACGATATAATCATCTTACCTCCACTCACAAAATAACTAGAATCGTACACTGAACTGGTAGAGGGCCAATAAAAAAAATATCTCCCTTTAGGAAGTGCCCAAAGAGAAACCAGGAGGTGTGGGGGAAAAAAAGAAAAGAAAAGAGAAAACATTGCATCTCAAGACTGCACCCCATCTGATCCTGGTATACTCTTTGCTCTTTTATGACAGTGTCACAAACATGAAAGGTAGAGAAATGAAGGAATCCCAGAATATGTATGACTGATAAATGGGACTCCTGGGTGTCAAGTGGTTAAGGCTTGACAGACCGTAGTGGTAGTCTGACCTCATCCAACAACAGGCAGTAACTGAAATGGTACACCAGATCTATAGTAGATAGAGGATCACCTACCTCTTCACCTCAAAACGGGAGTTGGTAGGGAAGACGAGCTTCCATACCAAAATCTGTCTCCATTTGCGGGTAATTACAACACAAAAAACACCAGATCTTGCCAAAAACCAACATCTGGCAGAAAGTAGGAAAGTGGAAAGTCCTGGCAGTGAGACATCTCTGGTTCAAAACCTGACGGCAATGGGTATGGTACTTCCAGTCCACAGTAGGAGGATGACATTCAGTCATAACAAGCAGGAAAACGTGCTGTGTCCAGCTACAACCAACACCAGATTTGCCAGGAACCGACATTCAGCAGATGGTAGGAAGGTGGAAAGCCCTGGCGGGATGACATCTCTGGTCCAAAACCTGATGGTAATGGGTATGGTACTTCCATTCCATGTTAGGAAGAGGATACCCGGCCATACACCAGTGGGAAAACGTGCTGTGTCCAGCTACAACCAACACCAGATCTGCCAGGAAACAGACATCCAGCAGATGGTAGGAAGATCTCCAGTCCAAAATCTGGCAGCAGTTGTCATTTGTCATCTAGTCCATGGTAGAAGGGATACCGGCCAGCTCACATGAGAACTAGCTGAACCATCTCCAACCAACACCAGACCCACTGGGAATGTATATCTGGATGATGGTAGGTTGGAGGAATGTCTCAGCCTGAGGAGCAAACTGTAATAATATATATATATTTGTGACATGGCGGAGTGCTTCAACCAAAACCTGGCAGCATCTGGAATTGTACATCACATCAATGGTAGGAAGAGTTTAAACACCAAAGAGCATCAGTGATGGGCAGCAATCTCTGTCTGTTTTGCTCATGTTAGTTTATGTTAATTTACGGTCTTGGCCAAACATTTTTATGAAATAAAAAACACTAGAGAGACATACCATCAGTCCTATGGAACACCCCATCTCTACAGTGTGCATAACCCAAACTTGTTACATAATTGGTTATTCATAGATAACAATAAAACCGAGACACACAACCAACACCTGGCGGCACCTGGAATTGTACATCATGTCTGTGGTAGGAAGGGCTACAACGTAATTGACATTGAGCTTAGCTGCAGGATGGACAGTGCAGATTTTCAACAAAAAAATATACCTGGTCAGGCACCACTTTCCACAAAGTGGGATCCACAATACACTAGCAAAAGGCCCTTGAAAAAGCAAGAAAAGTTAGAAAAAAAATAAAAGAGCAACCTTTCACGATACTAAAACGTGAAAATCTAAATAAATAGTGAAGAAAAACTAAGTCAATAATATAATGGAAAACACCAACAAATCTGTGAGCAAAAACCAGCATGTCTGTACAGTACTACCGTCAATGGAGAAGTGATTAACATGTGCAAATGTCAAGAGGGCACCGTTTATGATAGGAGTGGTGTCATAATCCTATTGGTGAAGAGCTGCTACATGATCATTTGCATGTGGATAGGCAGAAGAGGGAAGTGGAATGCCAGTGGCGTGCATTGAAAATTTGTGCTAATAGATGGCAGTGCTAGTTGAGAAAAGCTATTTTGTAAGAGGTGGTAAAATATTGTATCAGAAATACTGTTCATCTGAGAATTTTCAAATTTCATCTGTTTAACCTGTAAAATCTTTTAAATAAATATCAGATGTTTTTCTAGAATGACTGCAATTTGTAACATGATACTACAATTGTTTATCCTAAATAGCTTAAAGCTCATAACAGTCTACATGTGTTTATACTTTCAGGGTTGAAAAATTTTCATAAGCATGAAA